ACATCCAATAAGTTTCTTTGTACAGCTGCAGATGTGTGGAATATTGTTCCTTTATGTGAATATGTACGGTTGCATTCCTCGAAAAAGGCAGCTGACTAAAAATATACATATAACTTTGGTAGGTTGTAATTATGATATTTGCATTTTGTTTTCATTCATTTGCTGTAGCATTGAACAGAATCATTCTTGTTCCTCTACGTTTTGGTTGAGAAGTTCTTCGATGCGCGATAGACGTTGTTTTTCACAAGTCTTTTCCTTTGTATGCGTGTATATGTTACAGTCAATGTGTAAAATATGATTCACTCAGGCAATTTATAGAATGTCTAAATATTTCAGGCGATTGACTGAAAAATCTGTTCATTTATTTAACAGATTGACTAAAAATGACTAAGACTGTCAAAAGGGCTTAAAAACATCACAATAGATTAATTATGCTGGGATTAGAATCCAAACAATATAGAAATGTACTTTTAATATCCTTACATTTTCAGTCACTTGGTGATGATATTAAACATAAAATTGTTTGGATTTCGTCATCATAATAATACAGATGGGCATATTTTTCAGTCAATTTGTGAAATAACTGAATATTTAGGCGTTTAATAAATTTCCTAAGTGAAACGTTTGCACATTTTGACTGTAAAAAAATAAACACCATAAAATAAGCAATGGGCAGGTGAAATATTTTCTTTGTGTTGCAAGTCAAAATAGTGTAAATGAAAATCACACAATAACCAAGCAAGTGACTTATCAAAACACCGTCACCATTAATGATGCTACCCACAAAGATACCTAAATTTCCTTATTATTTCCAAAACTGTATTTCATTTTGTTGATAAATGTGACCATACGCCCTTATACTGTCAATAAAAGTGACAACTGCGCTTACGAATGGCGCAGCACAGGCCGCGAACTAGTCTAGATCTCTGCTATATCATCCGGGTACTCACGGGGAAAAACAATAACAAAGGCAACAACTCTCGGGGAATTGCTTTTGGTAATTGCCCATTTAACAGTATTCAAGTTATATCACGGCGTGTCAGCTTAATGTGGGAGGAAAGCCCAAAGTGATGCAGGTCTCAGACGTTCACCATTTCGGTGAACCCCACGCGCACGGGTATGGTGCTGACAAACCTAGAAACTTAATTGGGGCGAACCGGGTTTCGAACCCACAATCATAGGTTTCTGGCGTGCCCAAATGGACGCAACTATGCACAGCAAATCGCAACGCCTAAGACGACTGGGCCACCCGTGCCCCCCACTGAAATCAAAATCGGGGCACCATGTTATAAATCCTGAAGACGCTCAAATAGCAGTTCATGGAAGATTTACATTCTCTCATCAATTCTAAGAAATGTACTTGAAAAAAAAAATTTGATTAAAATTTCCCAATCAAATCTAGTTATAATCAGCCTGATAAGTCTATGTAAATACATACATGTATATTCTAGTGTCTTCCTCTAAAACACGAAACCAGCTCTTCCCTAAGTTTATTTCAGAAGCTTCGTATAAAGTTGTGTTATTTCAATGTGGTAACTGTACATGTATGTCTTTGACTTGCAAATACCTGACTTGCATTTGCATGTGTTTGTGGTGGATACGCTCTAACCTGATTCATGAGTATGATTCATTGACACATGCTTATGATATAGTCGGAATGGAATGGAAAAGAAGTAAATTATGGAAATGGTTTTGTTTATTTTGTTTCCAATAAAAAGCGTTTTCTTTTACAATGTTAATAGTCGTCCACACATCAAGAACTGTGTAATACAAATACCTAACGACGTAATATTTGTGAATGACTTCGTTTACCATAGGAAATCTTTAATAACCAAACGATTTTGCCCAGACTATTTCACATTATATTCAGAATGAAACTTATCACGAAACATTATGGGATACTAGACATGCACAAAACATTAGTTGGTTATGAGGTTTCCTGACGGTCATTTATTTACCTGGTCCCTGTTGTCATAATATTCATAAGGAGACTGGATGTTAAAAGAGCAATATAACGGAAAGTGGTTAGATTGGTGGTTACCAATGCCAAAGTTTGAGATATATGGAAAAAGTGAGGAGGAGGCAATCATATAATCAACAAGACTTGTTCCATTGTGGGTCACACATGTAAACTGACCTTGCTTATCTTCAAACAGTCTACCATTCATAACATGGATACCAAATGTTCTACATAGTTCTGCAAGCTTTTTGCCATACTCATTATGAACAAGGTTATCTCTGCTTGATCTTGGAAGGTCAAAGTGATCCGAGGAGTATACGTAGTCATCAATATCCTTATCAATAAAATCAATATTGTCATCTGGTATAAAATCTAGAAAATCTTTCATTCTAGCATTTAGATCATCCGCTAGAAATATGTGTTTGTCGGGATGGTCAGTCATGATAATATTTATATAATGTTCAAGAGTAGTAATACCATCGTATTCACTATTTTCATATATTGGCGAACTTTCAGGTGAGACATAAGTAAAAATCTGAACTGAGACTCTGTCAATGTGAAGACAGCTGGTAGCAAACAGCAACACAACTGTATTCTCGAAATAGTCATATAGTCTACTGATATATTTATCATCCAACCACTTTTCCTTGATAATGATGGTTGCACCACCACTGTTGCGTCCTAACTGTTTAGTCTTAATTTTCACACTGTTTATCCAACGGAAACCAGACAGAAGATCGAGCAATCGTTTTCTGCCTTCACAAAAGATTCACAAAAACAAACAAGGTCATAATGAGCACATACGTATTTCTCCTGAGAGTACGGGTTGTCATGTTTGTGTAAACCATCAATATTCCACGACAGAATGTCGAACGTAGGGCCATGGCCTAACCTTCAGACGGAGTTTTGTTTATGTCCTCGTCCAGTATGACCTTCACCCTGCGTGTTTGCGTCATTTCCGGGTCCAAACAAAGCGCTTGCCCACGTGGTGCCACGCCCACCCACCTTGGCAGAAGAATGTTGAGATGTTGATACTCTCATGATGTCCTTCACTTGTCTGTCGTACATGAAGATCCACCTTTCACAAATTGTTTATTTAACGTCATCTCCTGCATCGCGTGCTTTAACAAACCAAGGGGAGAGGGCACGCCTGTCGTCTCGGATGTTTTGTGGGAAATCCTCAGTCACACGGGTGTTCGATTCTCTTGAAAGTCGCGATCTCGCCTCTTTGTATATGTCACTCTTGTCCTTAGATCTAGGAGTTTTGCTATTGTAGGCGAATCTTTCTGTCTTGGATTGAGTCGATGTGCCCGGACAATGACAATATCAGCTGCGTTGCTCATTTCTGAGGACTCCGAACAAAAATCCCGCACCTTTTCTTCCGATCGCTCCCAAGTGTCACCACTTTCACCACTTAATCCATGGAATATCAAGTTGTCCCTTCGGTTTCGACACTCTAGATCTTCAAGTTTATTTTCTATATTTGTCAGTTTCAGTTTGAGTTGTTTATTCTCAGTTTGGAGTAAGTCGTGTTGCACGGGGAAATCCCGCGCCATGTTGTCCACTTTATGGTTGAGCGATTCTAAGTTCTGGTTCATTGTCTTTATGCCACCTTTAATGTCATGTAAAAGATTAAGAATATCAGCTTTTTCCTTTTCACTCGGATTTATTCCTCGCGATCCACTCTCATCGACAGCTAGAGTTTGTTGTCTCGTGTTGGGGCCGGGGTTCGGATCGACATTGCCAAAGGTGACGAGTAGTTCATTCATCAAAATCATCTCAAACATAGAGAAAACGAATATTTTGCTATTTGTACACCGTGGATTTGTCTGTGCCTTGACTTACTTGGTTGGGAGAAGCATCCTATTTTTGCCCCGTATTGATCAAGAGAGATTCCCATATTGACAGAGCACACAGAGACACGTCTTTCTCCTTCAAGATCGAACTGAACCACGTGACCACCGAGTCACTCACTGGTGCAAAAACATCATGGGGTTTGTTCGAAATATTGCTAATAATGACGCACATTGAGTAGAATGGGGATATCAACAAGGGGACTTTATATCCTTCAAAATGCAGAACCTTAATTAAATATTTTAATTTCTTAATAAACGTTCTGTTAAGGGTAATCAATAATAACTCAAGAATAATTAATTCACACTATGTCCAGCTAGTCTCAGCTTTGGCCAACCAGCCATAGCAATTGCAACCAGTATCAGGGAATGTTTTGGTTGTGTGTCGTCTGTGCACGGGGGCTAATGATTTAAATGACCCCAGCGCATCAGCCACCATCACTTGTCGGCGTTCCGAGTACTCTTGCATTACCCACACATATCCCAACACCACTGGTGTCGAGCACCTTTGCAACGAGCATGCTAACAACACATTCCCACATACTGGCACACTACACGCAATACCACAATATCCACAGCCAGAGTTTACTAACGTTGCAGCGCTCTGCTATGACTTTATGCATTGAGATTCATTTATCTTGTCACTCTGGGCACGACGCCAATGCAACTAGCCAAGTTTCAACCCAGGACCAGAATATTCATGGCCGAAAGTGTCGTTACAGGTACCAGCAGCACAGTCCGACAATCACGATACTCAGGGCTTTGATGGTGAACGTTTTTGGCAGTTTTTTTATTTGAATTTTAGGATGTTTCATGTATACAATGTATCTTGAGACATCACACTTACCACGAACATCATCCATGTTTCTCTCTCCTAATCTGTTATCATTTATGATGACCTGACATGATTTTGTCTGTGCGTGTACGTATCGTATGTGTGTGTACAATTTATTACTTGTAGCTGCACTTATAAATATAAGTAATCTTGTTGTTAGTTGTTAAGAAATGGTTTTGCTTCCTCAAATAAGTTTGGAAGAAAATAAATATTTAAAGATTGACTGATGCCAAGAGCTTCGAATATGCTTGCACATACCATGCACGTTGATGCAGCGAGTACAGATAACAGACATGTTATCTGTTGGCGAGTCAAAGGTTGCCCTTATTTACAGCGGTATATTTGTTCACAGATATGCCTAACACTCTAGAGTATGCAGCAACACGGAGCTACTGTTGACGAACAGATTACTTCGCCATTGAAGGTGAGTGGAGAATTAAGAGTTAATGCAACATTATGGTTTGTTTACCAAGGCTGAAAAAATTTCGGTTTTCAAAAGATAAAAGACTCCTGTAATCGTTCAAATGATTTAATTTGCCATACTGACTTCAGAAAATGCGTGATTTCATGACAAACATGACCATGCCAAAATGTCAATTTACAAATCAATAGCGTGTGTGTCCAACCTCTGGTTGCGATGCAAGCAACACATCTTCGTCTCATGGAATGGACCACAAAGCCCTATGGGATATCTGTCCATATCTGCTGGAGCATGTTTCGAAGTTCCTGGAGTGTCTGTGGAACACCTGGTTGACGTCGAAGGCGCCGATCCATCTCATCCCACCTGTGCTCGATTGGTGAGAGATCAGGGGAAAGAGCCGTTCAGAGGGTAACATTCACGTCGTGGCCGGGCGTTGTCATGTTGAAAGGTAATGCCTGGACCATGACGACGCAAAAACGGTAGAACAACAGGGCCGATGAACTCGTCGCGGTAGCGCTGTCCATTGAGATTTCCCTCTAAAACTATCAAACGGGTCCTCTGTCTTGCTGTTATCCCACCCCCGAACCCCCGAACCGATCTTCTTCCATGACACAATGATTGACGTAACGTTCACCACGCCGTCGGTATACTCGATTCCGTCCATCGCTGTGGCTGAGGTGAAAACGAGACTCGTCAGTGAATAGAACTTCACAGCGTCCCCACTGCGTGTCCATCCAACGTAGACGCTGTCTGCACCACTGTAGACTTGCTTGGCGGTGGTTTCCTTGAGGAAAGGGGCCCTGCAGCACGGAGTTTACAAACACGTCACAAACACGTACCCTATGACGTATTTTGTGGAATTCTGTTGCAAGATCCCCTGGCGAAACAACCGTTTTATTAAACTGTTCCGATCAGCGTTAGTTTTGATCTTTTTATATCAGACGATAATGCCCACAAATAAACAACCACTACATTTACTTTCACTTTGCCATCGATAAGCCTTTGTGGAAAGTTCTTGTTATAGAAAGATGCATATAAATGTCATACATTTTGATCAGGATCTAATTCAGGGTTCCAATTTAAATTCGGCAATGTATGCATTCACGTAAATTCAAGCAGCTCAACCAATTTAACCACTGAAGATTTATGAACCTGAGTCGTAACGAATTTCTTTTTCCTGTTACCATGATCCGTACTCTGCTACATTTCAACTTCACAGATGTATTGGTGGTTTTGATTTTAATTTCTAGTGTAAACTGTTAATCATTGTGGTCAAACTATCAATCTAGGAACATTGCGTACACAATGCATTCAAAATTATTTCAAATTTATATCATAAACATACCGCATTTGTGATGCCTTTATATACCGGGTTCAGAAATTATTTCGTAAAATTATTTCGGATGTGTAGATATATATCTGGTGGGCGGTACATGCACGACACCTTGAGGGCATACTGTTGATTAACTTGCGTATGGTATTGCCAACCATTCCACCTGAAGCGCTACCCCAAGCTGGGCAACGTTGGCTGGTGCTGGGTCTCTGGCGTACACTCTCTGCTCGAGGATATCTCACAGATACTCTATTTCAACATAGCACCAATACTTTTATACGGGGCTGGAATTTTGGGGTTCAGTGACATAGAACCGAGTCTGGCAGATTCCCATTCAGTCGCTCGCTGTTTTGAAATGCATTTAATCGTGCACACCACTTTTCACATTTAAAACAGGCTTTTATAGGAAATGTGTAAAGTGTAACATCATTGTCAACTTTTTAAACGAGTTCAATCTCTTTGATTTTGTGTTTTTTCGAAAAGTTGCCTTCATTGCCACACCGATATGGAATCAGTTCACTGACTTAATAGAGCATTGCCCGTTTGGTCAGGTTTTCAGCTTTCTTGTCTAGGAATGCCTATAGTATGCAGATGTGTCTTTGAGATTTACATTTGTGTGATCTATTAGTGGTTGACATTTTTAAAAATATACTCAACAACAAAAGTTCCTGTGACACCAATATTTTAGTGTATTATTCAAACAAGTAAAGTTTGATTTTCAATATTGTACTACTTGTATGGAATCAAGTCACAAAAACGCAACTGCTACAGAAAAGCTTGCATTCCATGCAAAGTTGACTTTTATGCAAGCCCCATGCATTTCACTACCCAAGAATGGGTATAAAAACATGTTCGTTAACGGGATTTAATATGCATTATTTAGCATCATGCTGACAACAACCACTCAGAAAAACAACAAAATTACGCAATTATTAAACATTACAAAATGCCACGCCTGTCCGAAAATGAGCGTCTGCGAGCCATTGGTATGCTTGAAGCAGGATCGAGTCAACGTGATGTTGCAAAAAATTTAACGTCCACAGAAACACCATTTGGTGTTTATGGCAACGTTGGCAACAGACGAATGCAGTCAGAGACCATCCTCGGAGTGGAAGTCCACGCCTAACCAATAATCGACAAGACAACTGGATTCGAACAACACACCCACGAAATCAATTCCACCCAGCAACAGTGACTGCAAGAAGCATCCCTGGCTTTCGGCGCATATCTTCACAAACCGTACGTCATCGCCTAAGATGTGCAGGGATTGTCGCCTGAAGACCCACCAGACGTCCCATTTTGACAGGAAACCACCCTCAAGCACGTCTACAGTGGTGCAGACAGCGTCTACGCTGGACGGCCATGTTGTGGGGACCAGTTCTATTCACTGACGAGTCTCGTTTTCACCTCAGCCACAGCGATGGACGGATCCGAGTGTACCGGCGTCGAGGTGAACGTTACGTCAATTATCGTGTCATGGAAGAAGATCGGTTCGGGGGTGGCAGCGTTATGGTATGGGGTGGGATTACAGCAAAACAGGGGACCCGTTTGATAGCGGTAGAGGGAAATCTCAATGGACAGCGCTACCGCGACGAGATCATCGGCCCTGTTGTTCTACCGTTTTTGCGTCGTCATGGTCCAGGCATTACCTTTCAACATGACAACGCCCGGCCTCATATTGCTCGACTTGTTCAGGAGTCTCTTCAACAAAACAACGTGAATGTCATCTCCTGGTCGGCTCGCTCCCCTGATCTCTCACCAATCGAGCACATGTGGGATGAAATGGATCGGCGCCTTCGACGTCAACCAGGTGTTCCACAGACACTCCAGGAACTTCGAAACATGCTCCAGCAGATATGGACAGATATCCCACAGGACGCCTGGTCAATTCCATGAGACGAAGATGTGTTGCTTGCATCGCAACCAGAGGTTGGACACACACGCTATTGCTTTGTAAATTGACATTTTGGCATGGTCATGTTTGTCATGAAATCACGCATTTCTGAAGTCAGTATGACAAATTAAACCATTTCAGCACTTACATGAGTCTTTTTATCTGCCGCAAACTTAAATTGTTTCAGATTTGGTAAAAAACATAACTTTGCATTAAATCTTATTCAATGTCACGGGAACTTTTGTCGTTCAGTATAGTAAAAAAGTTTAATCTTTTGAAAACAAACTTGGTATTTTGCTCTTGGCGAGTCTGCTAACTTCCATCGCTCGGCCAGCACTTTTGTTTCACGTTGCAAATGATGGTAGTGGTCATTGTAACATATGAGATCAGAAACTTCTAGGGTTTAAATTAGAAAACTATGCATTTCTGATTTGCTTCACCCGCCTTGAATAAACCGTTTTTATTCCTAACTCGATGATGATGTGATCCACCCTTCCAACAGAGATGCTAATAACCCAGTGAACACAGGGGGTCCAGGCAACGTTGCATACGTAGGTTACTATTTGGTCACTTTTCAACGCGGGTTCATTTTCAATGTCACACCGGCTTGCCAGGCTATTTAGGCTAGTGACACTATTTGACAAAGATACATATTTTATTAACATTTGAAGGACAGGGATAATATAATGAACTTGTTTAGCATTTTTAGATGTGACGATTTATGAGATGTACGGAATCGTAATGCTATCATAAGTGAAAAAAACATCACTGTTTTTCATTTGGCACTGCAGTGTCTATTTGATATTTCACTTTTTTGGCCACGCGCAATTGGCAGGCCTAATTTGTTATGTTGATGGATTATAATTTCGGCGATAAATACTCATGTGAGATGTTCAGTTATAACAAATTCAAATTGAATTATACTATTTTATTTACATATTAAAAGGTTGAACCAACTGTTACATATGTGAACACTAACGCCGCACTCAGTAGTATGCTAACTAAGTAAGGATAAGAGTTTATGGAAGAACAACTTCTTTATCACAATTAAGAGCGACGTTTCGATGTAGGTTCTAACACTGTTATAAAGCAAGTGATACACAGAATGACTGACTGACTGATATAGGAGATTTAACGTGCGCTTTCCGACTGTAGCGTATTTCGCACACGGGCCTGGCCGGGCCATTTAGTGTATTCCGAAAAGGGTGAAGGCGGTGAGTGCAACCTAAGAGAGGGCTTTTAGGGGTTGCTTATATTGAATTTTTTGAGTAGTGATGACAATCATCGGTGAAGTCAGTGACATAAACCAAGGATGAAGCCAGTAATATAAACAACGGGATTATGGCTGATTGGGGTCTTTGATTAGTTGATGGTACGCCGGGGGTATGTAATAGCCTTGGTCACTGTTGATTGACGGCTGGAGTCTTTTGATGTTGATGGCTTCTTGTAGTTTCTTATCCGTACTTAGTACTCCAACTTCTAAATGCCAACCAAAGAAGTATTCTAGCTGTATAATAACGGTAATAAGTGTGTATTAGATGTTTCCAGTGAAAGTGTGTTGGTCGAAACTCATCAAACATAGTATACTAATGCTGTTCGAAATATGAAATGCGGTATCGTGAGTTACATGTTTTCACAGAGTGTTTTTTCATTGTTGGTTTTGAAAGTTGTTCTACTTGTAAGATTTATGACTCATATTATTGCGTTTACATTAGAGTTATTACTGGTAGCCTTGATACGGGTTTTGTACCCTTTAAGGAAGCAGTAAACTTATGCCAGGGCGCAGTTAAGATCAGAGGGTATAGTTGATGTTCTGGGAGTAATGTCGGAGAATGAAGCTGCTTAGTCACAGTGTCCAGTCTTAAAGCTCTTCTCGTGCATCCTTGTCGCTATGTTAAGGTTACTTAAGAACCATGATGATACTTGCCATGTTTACATATATGCATACAAAGCGTTCTTTAACACTGGTGAAATCAAACTCTACATGACATGTTGTTGATATCGTAAGTAATAACACCGCTGTTAACAGTGCCCCTCACTGGGTGTCTGTACTGCTTTACTCGTGTACAATGATGTTTTATAAGGTTTTATTCACGCACTTCAAATGACATCAGCTCCTGGAAACACCTGAAAAATATGTTGTTATATTCTAATATAACGTATTAAATATTAAACGTTTTAATACTTTTTAAAGACATGTATCAGTTACAATTTTGCTTAAACTAAATCATACTTTGTTCAGAAACCAGCATATGTAGCGTTTCTATTTCGGGGAACATAGTTGACTGTCGTATGTACCTGAAGTGACTCAGGTTTCAACGACGAGGTTTTAACAGTTGTATTCACAAACCGTAAACGTGAACAATATCGTTTTTCGAGTATTAGCTGTGGTCTGTAGTGCACCTTAGACAACGCTCGGCATTAGTTAACAAATTGGTTTCACACACATTCGCCGTCGGCAGAAAATGCCACCTGGTAAGATAAAGATGACTCTCTTCCAGTTGAAATAAGAACTAGTCATGGTGTATTGTTCACGAGGTAGATGGGTGTGTCAAACTAAGATTTAGTAGATGTCTTATGTCATTGTCTGATGTTTATATTGGTCAAGCTGTGTTAAGTTGTGTTGTGTTAGGAAGCTTACTTGGTGTAAACACGACATATACTGCTCACATTAAATATTAACCTGATCTAATGCATTTCAAATCGTTGATGGGGACGCCAAATTTGCAAAGTAGCCGACGAAAGACGTTGATAACAACACATATAGTTCAACTTACTCTACACACATTGATCCCAGTGGCTTAACATATTGGATTTTGAGGCATGGGATTTCAAGTGTTCTAAATGTTACCTACAGCATTTAATTGAGTGTTTATTTCAAGAAATACAGCTACGTGAATGAAGAATTGCATAATATGTTGGTGTTCCCATACAAGTTTGAAGTAATGTATATTATGGAGCATTTCTCTGGGGCGTCCGTATTTTCACCATTTCCCGAATGCCACAAAGCTTCCTATCCTGAACCATTTTGACATTACTACATCTGGTGACAGTAAGAACTTCTGGTTAATTACCTTTAAGCTCAATCTCAGCTTTGAACTGCACAGAGATATTTCATATACAGTTTCGTCAAATGCCGGTCATATTCAATTTCCTTAAAGCTATTTTGGACATCTTCTTCCCACTGCAAGATATTTATAATTTATTTTAGACATTACATGTTTTCAGTATTTAGAAGGAATCGCTGGTGCATGCAGAGAAGGCGCATCTAGGTTTATCTGTGCGATGATGCTCATGACATGTCATCACTGGATTTGGGAAACGGCAAGAACTATAAAGGTAATTCTCATAATTACAGCTGCACTTTTGCCAAAGGCTCAAACAGCTTGAATAGTTGTAACAACACCAGGTGAAACAAATTCGAAATTAACTTTGAACACATACTGTCTGGTGTGATATTTTAATGTGAGACACGGGCAGATGATAAATACTAATTTCAGACCAAGACTAGTGTGGCTGAATGCGATTACAATATTCCGACCAACCAGACAGTATGCAATACGTTTCCGCCAATTTGGATTACATGTTTCACAGTATTTTCAACAGATTACAGCTTTGACTCGGATTCCCCACAGGGACAGTTTAAAAGGGTAACATGTGTAAGCCAGAGTGATTTTAAAATAGTTTACTTTTACATTTACCTTTGCAGATGGATGCCTAAAATGTAAGGTAGTAGAAACATCATACAGTCGTGAATGCAACGTTCCTAATATCATTCTCCTTCACACATTCCGGTCTATCATTTGCTCTGGAAGGAAATCGGGACAACTTTTAGAACAGAAAAAGGAAACACTTGACAGACTTGTGAAGGTAGTCTCAGCTTGGAGGAACAGCGGAGGGGGCCATCTTCTGATTCACGTAGAGGGTCAAATACCCGAGGACAGGTGTCTGGAACAGTTTGATGAGCTCATCACCAGGAGTCTGTCTGATCTCATTGATGACGGAGAGTTATATGTAGACATATACAAACGACAATGGCTCTCTGATATAGACGACTTTTCAGACAAAACTGACTTCATTTTAGTGAACGTGAAGGAAACGAATGGGGTAGCTACTGTTGATTTTAACACGAAGGTGAGGAACGATATTGAAAACATATCAATAAGTTCTACAAGGCTGGCTAACTGCATGATCGAGAGACGGAAAACAATAGACTCACCCAAGACAAAAGGTTTATGTAAGAATATTCAACAACTCCATGAAAGCAGGAATATTGAGATCAAAGGTCTCCATGTTGACAAACTGAAGAATCAAGTAGCAAAGAAAATTTCAAGAAGTCCGTCAGATTTCGCAGATTACATATGGCATCATCTTAAACTTAAAGACAACGTGACCTCTATGTCCAAGGTTGAGGGAGGCGGATCATACTATGTTGGGATAACTGAGAATACTCTGGACATTGAGAATTACAGAACCAAATTTCCTAACATTGACGGGTTTTGCACGAAATTTAAAGAGTCTGAGATCATCAAAGCCATCAAAGCTAAATTAGAAAGTGACACAATAGCCTTACGAAAAGGCACATTCTGTAGTGCCCCTGATGATTTGATTGACGTGCGGTTACATCCAATTCCTGGAATTGAAAGACGTGTTCTGGAGGTAGCTGTACGGTATTATGATGGCATTGTCTTCAATGACAAGGATGGACCAAGGGCGTATGAAGTAAAGGACAACGCTATACATCGGATGGACAGAGCAACATGGCTAGATCGTTTTAAAGCCACAGAGATTTAATTTCATATCCATTCAATATGGAAGAACAGTTCAATATGGAAGAACAGTTCAATATGGAAGGACAGTTAAACTTGCCCGGCAAAACAAATGACAGTGACGAGAGTGATGACTCCAGTGTGTCCAGCAGATACAGCTCAGAAGGCGATATTCCATTACCAACCTATGATGACTTCTCTGACTCGGATGACTCAGTAACAGGATTAAAGACTTCTGGTGAGGCTTTTTGTATTTAATATGTTCTATACCTTTTACATCACTTTCATCTCTGTATAATCTGACAGTGAATCGTTGGCTTTTACCACTTTCAGGTTGTATGCTCCCGTCAAACATTGTCTCTACGGCTGAACAAAGAAATATAGTAAGGACACTATCCGATGAGTCGAGGCAGTCATGTACGTAACAATAAATGTTTTGTTTCTTAATGGTATGCATCTTGTTTGATACCATTAAAGGAAATGTTCATATGCACAGTTTATTTTGAATCCTAGCATATTACGCATGAAGACTTCATTATTTTGCCCTAAGATTAGAAACACGTCCATTTCTTCACTTATCACCAACCTAAAAGGGAATACCGTTTTATTGTTCATCACTATAAGCATCTGTTAAACTTTATGAGCATTTATTTCAATAGTAAAACACTATATGAAACGTTTGGCTAAAATCTAGAACACGAACGTTTATTCAAATTAGGTATTCAAATGTTCCTTACTTCCTAACTGTTATGGTGGCTGGCGTAGGGAGAGCATTTGTAACTTAGTTGACTATAAAAATTATGTACAATAAATGTTGCAATGGTTGTTTCAGTCTTCGGAATCTTCCCGGCCAGCATTGAGGACATTCTCACGAAACAGTATGCCCACATCGTAAAGAGGTTGAGAGAGCTGCTGGACAGAGAGTGCTCAGTCATCATCGCAGGAGGCAGCTTGCGAAAGATTATAGACCCCTCCTGGGAGGGGCGGGTCCCCGCGTCTCTCCTGTGTGATGTGTGTGTGTTCTCCCCTACACGGCCTGTCTTGGTGCTGACTTTCACATCTAGGGATGAGGTCAACCAGAAGAACATTCCATACAACACCCAGTTGGCGAGGTTGATCATACAACATGTAAAGAAAGATACGAAGCTTGATTTCAATGTTGTGCATGGCACTGTCGACAACATTTCATGTCAGGAGAAACATGGTCTTCTGACAAAGCTGGCCCAACGTCAGAAATTAGCCAAAAGCATATTTTTCCCTAACGAACTGCACATGGATAAAGACAAATGTACATCCGTTATAAAGTCTCTCCTGAAATATCTGTCTGACGACACTGAGATAGAGAGACTACCACCAACCGCGGAAGATGAAGAACATGTGACAACCATATACAAGCAAGATGTATGTACCAATTTCAGGGCAAATGAGAGAAAAAAAATTGGTATATACATTGTATCCTTTATGAATTATACAGTGTTCCTGGAATTTACGCAATATATCTGGTCGTCACAAGCACACATTTGTTTAGTCTGCTTGTCAATTTACATGGTAGCGAAATGCATTCAGATTAACCCTCACAGCGACAAAATTACATGTATCTTAAAACCGGGAAAACCCACAAACCCACAGAGGTCTATGAGCACAGGCATGGAAAATGATATGCCTTCTGTCCTCGGTAAATTGCGTCATTTATGACTCCAATGTTGCCCACGCTTGCAAAATTACTTGACATGCTGATTTTCGGTAGGTCAGATGATCAATAAATAATGATAATAGTTATCCCAGTAATAATTAATAATCACTGTAAATAGTACTTACCTGACCCTATTTATCCGTCAGTGGCCCAACCGTTTTTATCCATTAGCTTTATCCTGCCAAGAAACATACCCACTACATGATAAATATAGTAACATATAGTAAATATTGTATTGTGAAATAAGCACTGAAATATGTGATGCATGAAAGTCTAATCATAGCATACGAGTATTTTCATTGTTTTGTGTTTGATTTTGGGCGATACTTAGTGTGTTTGCTGTGCAGTAGAACCTATCTATTTATTACATATTTGGGATTAAAACACATACATAAGAAGTGAAACAAGCATATGTCACCTTGTGTTCAATGCTACATTCAAACGTGACTTCATTAGCGCTGGAGTAGAATAGATCTTCAGCAACCCATGCTTGCCGTAAAAGGTGACTATGCTTGTCGTAAAAGGCGACCAACGGGATCGGGTGGTCAGGCTCGCTGACTTGGTTGATACATGTCATCTATTCCAATTGCGTGGATCGATGCTCATGATATCAATCACTGGATTGTCTGTCCAGACTCGATTATTTACAGACCGCGGTCATATAGCTGGAATATTGCTGAGTGCGGCGTTAAACAAAAAAACAACCAATCAACCAACCAATCATGCTGTCAATCACTGGATTTTCTGGTCCAGACTCGATTTTTTTATAGACCGCCGTCATATAACTGGAATATTGCTGAGTGCGGCGTTTAACAACAAACCAACCAACCAAAAGGTTGTTTGCTTATAATTACAATCAGATTTAGTTTCCTTATGAAATACAAAATATTTTGTCCCTCATCACCCCACGCTTCCTACATGAATTTTTATTTATTTCAAGGCAATTGATGAACAGTTACATACAGTGGAGGAAGATGATGAACCCAAAATCAGCAAAGTCAATCAAGATGACAAAGTGGACGTATCACAACTGATATATCGTCACCAGTGTTTGAAGGACAGAGAAGAATTATTCCCGCAGCTTCCAGTTGATAGACCAAGCAAAGCATCTGGTAAATATGAGATATTGAGCATATGTAAACTCTCAGTATAAGGTCGTGCATCTGAATATTTTATTCCTACATTTTCTTTTTTCCCCGATTGACTCCTGGTACCTCCAATGGTAAACGTGAAACGTAGATACAGCCAATGCCAAGATTTCATTAAAAAAAAAGTCTACACTAATTAAACACTACGTAAAGCCTTAAACATATAAATCAGATAGCACGTTGCCTTATTCTGGCGTTCATAGCTTTCACAGATGACTATGATCGGTCATTTTGTCAGTTAAGGTTTAGGATGAACTGCCGCGCTTCACGTCTCCGTATCTGCTGAAGAAAAGTGTAGCGTGCGGATATATACATTCATCATAAAAAGATATGCAAGTACCAGGTTTTTCCCTGGTGAGAAAACCCGATGTCTCGAGACGAGAAGTGTGGGTCCAACTATACAGTTTCACGATAGAGGCAATGGACTGTGAAAGTCACAGATCAGTCAAGTGTTGATACTAATCTAGGTTAAGACAGTACTTTATTATTCCGCCGCAACTCTTATTCTCAGCAGAAACATAACTTGATAATTACAGACAGACAGACGGACAATTTATTCAATAAAAGGCCATGGGCCCAAAATACATACATATGCAGGAATACATAAAACCTGCGCAAAATGACATATTTACAAACTGGGAAAATTAACATTATTTAATTTTTAAATTTTTAAAATTTATTTTTTACTTATTCGCAGTGGATTATTTCCTATTTACCCTAAGTTGATAAGTGAGTGAGTGAGTATGGTTTTACGCCGCTTTTAGCAATATTCCAGCAATATCACGGCGGGGGACACCAGAAATGGGCTTCACACATTGTACCCATGTCGGGAATCGAACCCGGGTCTTCAGCCTAAGTTGATGAGCTTTGGTAAGGAAAATAGATATTTTATATAAGCTACCATATATATATGCATCTGAGGAAATAATAGAGATAAAGTTATGCTGAAGGTTAGAGGTAATATATTTATCTAAAAGTGCATTACAAAGGGAACTGTAGGATTCACAAATTATTAATACATGATATTCATTTTCAATAAAGTACTTATTTTTAGATAGGCAGATAGGGCAGAGTCTTTCTTCATATGGTGTGGCATGGTATTTTCCAGTATTTTATGCTATTGGAAAGTTACTGCATCTGAAGCGGGATAAAATCCTTTTTAAGTGAGATGAAAGTGGTGAATTTAAGTAATATTCAATATTTAGTAGCGATTTAAAATGTTTATAGGAATAAGAGTCAGATAAACTGTTCACATTTGCTGCAAGTTGTCAAATAGTCTCTGTTTAAACATGGAAATAAAAACATTTTTATCCCCAACTTCTTGTGCTATCCATGCATATCCAAATCCAAATCTAAATAAAATATTTTTAATGCGTGTGGCCCAGGTGGTGCGACCTGAATTATCCAGAACAGCTAGCATCTTGTAACACTGATATGGTAGTCTCTCCGAGCTCAGTTGTATCAGCCTGCACCAGTACTTCAAAGCTCTTGTCATATATGTAAGCTGAAAGGAGCTCTACCACACTCACCAAGCACCATCACATTACATGTATTTCTTTGCACTTTAAGAACTGATTTGCACAACTTAACTTGAATATCCTCAATGATTTTGCTGTAATTAACACCCCAGATTTCAGAGCCATAGGACCGTATAGGGGTTACAAAACTATCAATAATTTTGAATTCATCTTTGCATGGAATATCACCAAGTTTCTTCTGACATCTATTTATGGCAAACACAGCTTTGGAACTCTGTGCAGCTAAACATGTTTGAGCCTGGGTCCACACAAGTTTGGGGGTGAACATAATTCCTAAATATCTGTAAAGTGGAACAACATCAATGCTTTCACCATTATATGACCACTTTTCATAACTTAGGGAACAACCATTTCTAAATTCCATTACTTTTGTCTTCTTCAGATTGACTTTCATATCAGTTTGTAAACAGAATAAATGTAGAGCATCAATTTTTCATGTGTAGTTGAACTGCTGAATATGATACAGATGAAACATCATCTGCAAACATCAGAAACATTTTTAAAATCTTGTGATATAAAAACACCTTCTCCTCCGCAGTCTTCAAGTTGAATTAAAAGCTTGTTTATGAATATTATAAATAGTTGTGAACTCAAAATACAGCCCTGCCGGGTGCCAATATTACATTTAAAATAATCAGTTAGTCCAGTTGAAGCCCTTACACAAGCACACAGACTTGAATACATTGATAAAATTATATTGAACAGTTTACCCTTAATCCAAACATCATGTTGGCTTTTCAGTAGATTATCATGTCTTATAGTTTCAAATGCCTTTGAAAAGTCAACAAAGAGGCAGTAAAATCTCCCCTTTCTTCTCGCTGCATATTTTTTAGTCATTGCCTGCAGACTAAAACTATTGTCAATAGTTGAATAATTGGACCTAAATCCTGCTTGCAGTTCATCAATTATGTTATTTTTCTCACAACAATTCTTAAGTCTCCAGTTTATGATAGAGGTAAATATTTTACACAAGTTATAAATCAAGGATATTCCCCTGTAGTTGTTTACATCATGCTTGTCTCCGGATTTAAAAAGAGGGCAAATGATACTTCTATTCCAAGCATTTGGAAACACACCATTGTCAAGTATTTCATTAAAGAGAGCAGTCAATGTAGGTAAAATTATATTTTTCGTATTCTTGAAATATGCAGAGACAATACCATCAGGTCCTGGTGAATTATTATTTGCAAGCTTTTGGATATGTTGTTCAGTTTCTTGATTTGTTATAGGTTGATAAAATTCTTCATGTGCCGGGGTATCATGTTACATGATTATCTGTGTCCATTGGTGGAGGTAAGATGGGTTTATTTTCTGAGTGGAGGAGGGAAGAAAAGTGCTTCATCCATTCATCAGTTCTAATTCCAACTAGCATTTGTGATTGTCTCCCTTGCTTTAACAATTTCCAGAATGATTTAGGATTATCTCTTGATTCAATTAGTTTTTGTTGCTGTTGATTTTGATAAGATTGTCTTTTAAGTGCAAAGGTTTTCTTGAATTTAGATCGCAACTCCCTGAACACATTAATATCTAAACAATAGTCTCTATGTCCTCTCATGGCACGGTATTTTTCATTCTTTAAGTTTTCAAGTTCACTGTCCCACCAAGGTGGTTGACTGATCTGTCTAGATTTATTATGGGTTGAAGGAAAACAGTAAAGTCTCTTGTTTATAGATGCTGCTTCTTGGTAGACATTCACAAGTCGACATAGTGCAGTATTAACATCTGTTGAAATTATCTGTTCAATTTCATCTTTGAGGAGGTGATACAAGTCTTTAAACTTGGATTTAAAGACATCTCTATTATCTTCCTTCCATGGGTATTTGTACCAGGGATTAACTTCAAGTTCACTAAGCAGAGAATCATCATTGTTCTTGTTGACTTGTACATTACTGCAATCATTATGAGCAAAATTAAACCTGCAAAACAATGGGAAGTGATTTGACTCATCTCGCTCACCTACTCCAAAGTCAGATATACATGAAATGAGGCTAGGGGAAGCTATCATATAGTCAACAGTACTGGCACCATTGTGTGTAATGCATGTATATTCACCTTGCTTGTCTCTGTGACATCTTCCATTCAATATATGTATACTGAATAATTTGCACAATTCAACAAGTCTCTTACCAAAATTGTTGCAGTTGTCAGAATCTTTATTGTTCCTTCGTACTTCAAAGCTGTCAGTTGGGTAATCATCAATATCCTTTTGGATAAAGTCAATGTTATTTTCAGGTATGTAATCAAGGAAGGTTTTGGTCCTAGCATTCAAATCACCAGCAAGAAAGAGTTCCTTTTCTGGGTGACCATGTACAATCTCTGTCAAATAGACCCTCAATACTGACATACTATCTCTATCTTTATCCTCATAGATAGGAGAGTTCTCAGGTAATAGATATGTCAGAATCAAGATTGTATCCTTGTCAATACCTAATCTTGATGTGTCAAATAAGAAAACTACTGTATTTTCAAAATGTTCATATATCCTTGATAAATATCAATCAATGACCAACGATTCTCCAATAAAAATTGTCACACCACCACTGTATCTACCAAACTTCTTAGTTTTTACCCGAACACTGTTATATGATCGAAACCGGAGAGGAATGTTCTAAAGTCATTTACACTAAGAGCAAAAGGTTCATACATGTCAATAAATTACAAGTTTATATCGATATGATGATGTCAGCAAGTGTGCCATCAACCTGGACGAGTAATAACCATGCGTAGTTTTCACTAACTACTAGCATTTGATTTATCTATACAAATCGGACATTGTTAGTTTAACCTTTCAGAAACTTAACCTCATATATTTCATATACAGTAAAAAGCATAAAAAGATGAATTAAACGAGTTGAAGAAAGTTTATCATTTTTGTGTCTAACAGAGTCGAACATCGTTATTATATCAGAGGGGGCACGATTGACCCAGTCGCCTAAGGCGCCAGAGTTGCGTCCATATGATAGTTGGTTCGAATCCCGATTCGCACCGATTATGTTTGTAGGTTTGTTAGCATCATACCAGTGCTCGTGGGTTTCACCAAAGAGGTAAACGAGACCTGCATCACTTCGGGCTTTCCTCCCACATTAAGTTGACACGCCGTGATATATAATACCGTGGTGTGGTGTTAAAAACTGAAGTCACACCCTCACTATTATATCAGACATTGTACTAATGGAATGAGCACTGAATATTGCAAAGGAAACAATAGTTAGCAGTTTGGACTCTTTTATTACTGTTAGGAGCAAAGTGGTTTAGAAAGTAGTAATATACACTGATTTGTGTCCAATGAAATAGAGAAAGAGATGATCAAATTTAAAAACTCATTGTTCTGTTGTGCTAGCTCTATGTTATCCGACCACTTAACTAGGATTTAAAATGGAATAACCGTATATATCTTGGTTAAACCTATTTCGCTTGAGTAATGTT